TCTCCGATTACGCCTAGATGGGACCGGCTTGTTGTTTTATTTTTGCTGTTTGTATTTGATCTTATGCCAGTCGTATCATTTTACTTGATCGTATTCGTAGGGAGTCTATAGTGATCTGATCAACTAGACTGTTACTCTTCTGTCAGACGTTAGACTGGTCCTATGCTAAACTGACTTCCTATGTAGGCATGAAATCCTGCAAGTATTCAAGCCGGGGTCTGAAACTCATCATAGCTCTAACTTTACCATGTAAAGGGTTATAGTTGTCATACTTTCCAATGGTTTTATCTTTTTTAAGCAGTTGTTTTATTAAGGATTTTATTTCACGTCTCATTACCTATCGTTGGGGTTAAATCATGTGGCTACATCCTTAAACCTTTGTGTCTTTTTCATTGTTGCTGCTGCCACTTGCTACTGTAGTTTTTTTTTATTTCAGAAACACTTTATTTACTTTGACTCTTATAAAGTTAAAGCTGAAGCTTATTACTGACTCCCTGTCCAGATATCTGCTGACCAACTTTTTGACAAGAGGAAATGCAACCAAATTATCTGAAGTTTAATGGCAACTAGAGTGATGTTGCTGTTGCATTTTTTTCAGGCAAAGTGGCTCAAGTTAAAGGTGTTGTGGTGGATTTTTGTGATTTTCTTAAGAGACCCCCCTCTCCAATAAAAAAAAAATGCACATGCACAACCCTTTACTCGCACATGAGAGGAAACGCCTATTGAACGCGTGCGAGAGCATGCAGGAGCCCATTTTTCCCTTGTGCACGCTCTGTTTAAAAGCTGCTGTTCTCATAGCTCATACAAGCTGACTGTGTTTGAACATCCGCCCTAACCCCTAAATCTCTCAATCAATATATACTATTAAATTGCACATATATGCCTGAAACTCTGCATGCACAGAAAAATGTAGCTAACGAGATGAGCATGTGGGACAAGCTTATGTAGACATTTCACCAGAATGATTGACAATTAGCAGGACCACTTATTTAGATGATCCACCTGGAAATAAAAGATCATCCTCTATACCTTTAAGCTCTTTGATCTTGCATGGAAAGGCAGGTTTGGCTGTGAGAATGGGCCTTTTCCTTGAAAGGCTGATAAATGCAGGAAGTTAGTCCTGCTTTTTCCAGTTTAAGCTGTCATCAAAGGTAAACTCTGCTCTGCTTTAAAGAAACATTGAGACAGTAATCTACATCTCTCCCCATTTGTCTCAACTATTTTATGATTCTTTCAGGAAATGGTCTACCATTTCTTGCAGTCAATGGGCACAAAACTCAACTGTTTAATTTTTTCCCATGGCATTAGCCAACAAGAGCATATTTTGCAAGCTCAGATCCCCTTTACTGCCTTTAAGTGGAATTCTGACTTATTTTTCTCCTTTGCTAAGGGTGAAATAAAAAGAGTACTACGGATCTAAGCTATAAAGGATTGCAGCATTTAGCTGGACATATAAGCTTACCCTGTGGAGATTTTATTTCAATATTAGGCGCTGGGCCGCTGAGAGCCACCGTAACTTCTTTTAGACTGGGATCAAAGGGCATCTGCCAAGTGTTGCTGACTTGGCCAAAATGATCAGTGGAGAGCAGGTTGACCTTTGAGGACTGCACGGCATCCTCTACCCATTTAAGAACCTATGACACATAGAGAAAGTGTTAACCAAGTTGTTAAAAAAAAGATATTCAAACAGAAGTTGTAAAAGTAATTAAACTGATTGGAAAACCTAGCTTGGGTTTAAATAAGAATATTTTCAGATTGTGACTTATTTAAAAGAAATCCCAGCAATGTCACAATGACCCTTTAGCAGCTTTTAAGTTAACCGTGTAAAATTATCTACCATGATGTTTTTAGCATCACCTGCATGCTTTAAGCATTGCATTTCTTCCACATCCCTACAAGGACAACAACACCCAGAGGATATTCTAAAATGTTATGTGCAAAATCATGTGCCCTCCCACTAACTGACACTCATGGTAAAGATGTGTATTAAAGTGCAGCAGAAACACATGTTCATTGTACCTATTATTCTCTAAGAGAAAAGATGATGAGTGAGGTGACAAGGAAAAACTCTACAAAGCGCATTGCTAAAGTAATTCAACAAAAAGTGACATAATGAAGTCTCCAAAGCTTTAAAACAATCTTAAGGTGATATCCTCATTCCTATCTGGTGTTTTAAGACCTTCTTGGGTTTTTCATCACAAACACCAATAAAACTTTTAACTTCAACTGTGTACTTTGGTCAAAGGAAGCTGCGTCTTAGCTTTAAATATGCTATGGGGCTGCTGTTTTTGTCCAAACGTCCCTAGAACCATGTTAGTGCCTCTGTGAGTTGTGCCTGGTTCTCCTGCAGGTTTCTTCCTGTTAAAAGGGAGTCTTTCCTCTCCACTGTCGCTACAAGCATGCTCAGTGTGAAGGATTGTATTTGAGTCAATGAGTCGATGCGATCAACTGGTTTTCCTTAGATAGAAAACTTTGAATCAATTTGACTGTATGATCTAATTGAATTGTAAAGTGCCTTGAGATGAATTGTATTGTGAATTGGCGCTATAGAAATAAACTGAATTTAATTTAATTGAGTTAGGAGGGTATTTTAAAATAAAATTTCTGCTACTGAGCTGAAAATGGGTCTTCTCTGAGTTTTCAGAGAGGGATACTCATCCAATGCATAACTATAACTGAATCTAAGTGGCAAGGAGGTAGATCTGATTCATTTTTCTAATTCTGTAATAATCTGCTGCTGCAGGGAAGACGCCAGTGTAGAACCTGCATGAAGCTGGTCCCACTTTTTTTTTTCTTCTTTTTTCCCTAAGGGCCTTTTAGAGACTCCATTTAACCAAACAGTTATGTTTTTGGATTGTGGGAAGAAGCCAGAGTACCCAGAGAGAACCCATGCATGCCTAGGGGAAAGATGGACATAACGTGGGCTGCATGGTGGCTTACAGAGAAAAGTAACAATATTTAGACAAAAAAAAAATAAAACTAACAATTTTAGGCCGTAATATGCTGCAAGTTTTTTTCATCGTTTTATAGAAGTCTGTCTAAACTAAGACTGCTTTAATATAGCAAAATTAGCTTTTTTATAATTTTTTTAACTTTAATTAAAAAAAAAAAATTATGAATACCTCAAACTGGACAATTTTGGCTCTAAGGGCAAAATGTTAGGAAAAAACCCATATATGCGATGGAATTTGGTTTTATTTATTTAGACCCGATTAACAACAAAGGACCGGGCTGCAGGGGCCGCAGATTCAGCACAGACTCCCAGGCTGCAAGGGAAGGCCTCAGGTTCTCCCAGGCCAGCCGCGAGACATAGACCCATCATGTCCTCGGTCGTCCCATAGGCCCCCTCCCACTGGGACACACATAGAACACCTTGGGACCCTCTTTAAGGGTTATCTGCCCGAGCCATATCAGCTAACACCTCTTGATGAGGAGGAGAAACGGATCTACTCTGAGCCTCGCCCCATCTCTAAGGGAGAGCCCAGCCACCCTCCTGAGAAAGCTCATTTCTTTATCTGGGATCCTCTTCTTTCAGTCAGGATTCAGATTTCATGACAATAGGTGAGGGTAGGAACATAGACTGACCAATAAATCTGGAGCTTTGTCTCAATCTTCGACACAAAAGACTGGTGCAGCGTCCGCATTAAATAGCAGCAGCCCCAATGCACTGGAAAAAATCTACATCTAGATAAGTAATTTTTTCTTAAAATATGTGCATTTATTCTTGGATTGAGGAGGTAAAAGAGACATTTTGCCAATGAAACAAGACAATTTACACTTCAAATAAGAAAATACATTTGCTTTGTCTTATTTTATATTATCCAATTATCTTATTTTAAGAGTAGAAATACTCATTCCATTGGCAAACTAGCTCATTTACCTGCTCAAATTAAGGGTAAATACACTTAATTTAAGAAAGTTTCTTACTTATTTCTAGATTGTTTTCCCAGTGTGCACTTTTACAAATAATGATTTTTTTTAAATAGACTAGATTTGTTTGTTTTTTTACTTTGTAGCGTAAAGGTTTTAGATGGAAAAAATGCTGAAAATCTAAAGGCCTTACATCCTTTGTGTAAAGTAATAAAACAGCAGGACATTTCAATTTCATGCACTGGCTCTTTTCACAATCCAAGACTGTGATTTATATTTGGAAGAGGTTGAAGAGCTAGGCAATAATCACTAAAACATTTCAAGTACATTGCATCTGAATTTCTATGCTAGAAGATGGGTTGTAAAACTTTCTTCTTTCATTTACCTTAGGGGAAAAAAAACGTTTTATGATTTAAATCAGGTTAAAAATCAAATATCTTACCCATGTGTAACACAGCCTTATAACAGCAATAATGTTCTTACCTCATTGACCTGTTTCTTGTCCAGATGGAAAACTTGGCCAGAGCTTGTAGAGGCGATCTCCTCATACACTTTGTAACCAATATGATTCCTATCATCACAGTCACCCGTCAACACAAAAACCACCTAAAGAAATTATTAGAGATTTAAAAAAAAAAGACAAAGCAGTTTCTTTGATCCTGCACTTGAAGAAATATCTATTTCATAAAGTTATTCCCAAACCTGTGACTGTTTCTGTTGAATAAGCTGCAGGACTTCTTGGGTCAGTTTATAATCTTTAGAACGTGCATCAGTGAAAACATAAATAAATGATCCTGGTAGAGAGATCTCCAAAGCTATCTTGATGGCTCCAATGCTCATCTCTGGACAGTCACCACCTCCCTATAAGATAAAAAAAAGTTTGATTTGTCAGGGATATACATTTATAGGCCTCATAACAATGTTTATACTCCTTGATGCTGTTTATCATTCCCTCTACAGCTCTAAATATCAGTATATTTGTTATTGGGTTTTTGGGTGCAGTGGAAAAATTATCTAGAAATAAGTACAAATTTATTAAATTAAGTTTATTTACCCTTAATTTGAGGAGGTAAATGAAATAGTTTGCCAATGGAATGAGTATTTTTACTCTTAAAATAAGATAAGTAGACAATATGCACTTGAAATAAGACAAAGCAATTGTCTTTTCTTATTTTAAGTGTAAATTGTCTTGTTCCATAGGCAAAATGTTTCTTTTACCTCCTCAATCCAAGAACATATGCACCTATTTAAAAAAAAAGACTTATCTAGATTTAGATTTTTTTCCAGTGTGATAGACTGACCTAGCCTGGGTGCCATTCCGAACTTAGTCCCGCCCACAAGGTTT